GGCTTATGCTCGTGTACTTTGAAAACCCCTGACTTTAGACTTTTAAATTAGTTGAATAATTACAGCTTCAATTTGTAATAACATATTTATTATTATGTACCTGTTATGTAGTTGATGCTTCACTACATACCTGGTATTTTAAAGGATAAAACTTGTTTCAACTGATATAAGCTAACTATCTTCTCAACTGGCCAGGTTTATATGGCTTTATAAGCTTATTTTAATTTTAAACTGTTAAARGATTAGCTTTAGTTTTAGTCAAATCACATAAAATCTGTTTACTTGTGAAATGAGATGTTTTCCTGTTTCTCTTTTGTTGGTAAATCCATAAGATACAGCTTTCTGACAGTTTTATTATTTTAGTTAATATTACCATTTATTGTTTTTACAAATTTTACATATTCAGCCTTTATTGTTCACTATTTTGCCAATATGTACAGCAATGATAAATCAAGACACTTGCCCTGCATGGTAATGACTGCCGCTGCTACAGTAGATTACGTTGTGTGATCAAGATGCACTCCAGCTGTTCTACAGAACGTCAATGATGTCATCAGATTTGGTGTCTCATCTGCAGTAATGGGGTCATATCATAAATATTACTCAGCACTTCTTGTTCTTTCAGGTTTTGTGCATTTTTAATGGTTTAATGAGTTATTGTCTTTTTGTGTGTAGGAAGCTGGAGCAGCGTTTCCACATGTGCGACAGAATGGCCATCTACTTTTTCATCGCTGCCTCCTACTCTCCCTGGTCAGTCATGTGACCACAGATTTAACAATAAATAAATCTGTTGTGTAACACGGATCACACGGTGCTGATGATGAGTATGTTCTCAGGTTGATGCTGAGGGAGCTGGGACCCTGGACYTGCCACATGCGCTGGCTGATATGGGTCATGGCATGCTTCGGATCCGTCTACGTCTTCTTCTTCCACGAGAGGTAAGACAGTTTCTTGTAGGGCTGTGTATTGGCAAGAATTTGGTGATACGATACATATCATGACAGATATATTGCGATACTGTAAGCAAGGTGATATATTGCAATTTTTTTGGTCCAAAAATTCTATTAAKTAAAAACCTCTTACTGGAAAAAATTAATAAATAAATTCATTGTC